CATAGTTTAATAAATAATAAAACAATTAAATAAAAACCATGGAATTAGAAATATTAAAAATATAAATAGTCAAGCTAAAGATGAGTCACAATGGTGGAAGGAGATCTGACATAGAGATATCCAATCAAATATGACTCCACAAATTCAAAAATATGAATAAAAAATAATACATATATGCATCAATATGATGAGACAATAATACTGTCGGGTTGTCATGTGCTTAGGACATTCCAAACGGATGTATATATACAATTAAGATGATTCGTGGTATAAATAATCTAAAATTGAAATTTCATACAATTAAATCCATGATATTAAAAATTAAATTGAAATAAGAACCAAACTTAACTAATTGCAAGAAAAAAAAATCACAATACTCATCAATATATAAGTAGGTTATGTTTATCATTTAGATGGATATTACTAAAAGAATTAAAAAATAAAAATAGAGAGGAAAAAAATTACATTATCTTTTTAACAAAATCAAAATTTCGTTAAAGACGAAAACAACTATTTTTTATAGAATTTGTCTCACGAAAATCAATTTATCCAAAACTTCAATGCTCCACATGAATACATTCATATACATAAACATCATCTAAGCTATTTTCGAGTTTTTAGAAACTTTAGCCCACAACAAATTTTTTTAATTGATAACAATTCTTACCTTTAGTCCACAACAAATTACTTTTGTTGACAACAATTCCAGAATAAGAAAGGTCGATTTTTATAACTATAATGTCTTAATTATGTTTATTACACATTGTATGTATTAACACAAAAGCAGCGCTGCATCTCCTCTTTCATTTATTTACATTAAATTTTAATTATAAAATAGTCGTCCTTCATTATTTAGTTGTTAGGATATGTGTGAAACAATCAAATGAAACAACCATTTGAATAACAGAATATGTATGTTTTTTTTTTTTTTTTTAAATAGACTAATTCAATCGAGGGAAGACATTTAAGTTATATTTTTAAAATGAAAGCTATTAATAAAAATTAATATAATATTAAAAATATTAATTTAGGGAAATATTCACAATGGAAAAAATGATTTTTTTAAAAAAAAAATTCATGTTGAATAAATTGAAATA